CGGGCTCAGGCAATCCACTCACCTCAGCCTCCCAAAGGCGCGGGATTACAGGCTGAGCCACCGAGCCCGGCATGCACATCTTTCCTTTCTTCCTCTTCTGGGTTCTCCTGGAGCCTCCCGTGAGGCTCCTTATGGTAGCACCCGCTTTGTGGTATTCTACTTTCCACATTGTTTCTCTTTACCCCATGTAAAATGCATCTGCATTCCAGAGACATTAACAAGTGGCCAGCCCTCCCTGGGGTTGAGGACAGCTCTGTGGTTCCTATATGGTTGCGCCCAGTGCTCATGCAGTGTCAACCACACCGTAGGAGCTTGGAGTGGCCTGATGAGCTGAACTGAGCTGTGATCTTTGAGGAGAGATTGGAGCAGAGGGAGAAGGAGGAGCGCAGGGCACAGGAGCTCTGAGAGGGGACCTCACAGGCACTGCTAGGGCACCGGAGTCCCACTTTCACTCCAGGCTACTCCATTGGGCCAATCTTGACTTCTTGCTGTCTCCTATTAGGTAGTAAGGAGGAGAGAGGCTTCCTGGCATGGAACCAAGTCCAGAAGGGGTCTGAGGAGACTCTGAAGGCCTCAGAAGTCTACAGCCTCCCCTGGGGGATTGGGACCAAGTTCTGCACATACCCCTGCTTGCGAAGTCTCCCCTTCTGGCCCCAGCTGGAACGCACTGAGAATGAGGAGGTGGGCCTGAGCCAGCTCATCTCCTGCTCTCTGGCATCCCCAGAAGAGCACCCTGAGGGTGCCACAGCACAAACAATGTGAGAAGGGCTGTCCCCAGCGTGGCTCAGAGCCCCCACCTGCTCACCCACCCGCTGGAATGTGCCCATCTTCTTGTTCATGTATTGCTGGGCATTGCCCTCTCAGCACCTCCAGCACTCCGTGAATGTGGCAGTCAAAGAAGAATGAAGTCAAGGTTGTGACCTGCACTCTCTGACCTGGCCACTTGGTTACCGAGGTGGCCCCCAGTGTAAACAACGTGGCTGGGTGTCTGCATAGAAACCTTCTTCCCTGCTTCCCACATCAGGGTCCCAGCATGCTGGGACCAAGAGGCCTGGGTGGAAAGGGGCTGCTTGCTGAAATGTGGTGGAAATGGGTCTCTTTTTCTCCAGAGGGGCAGGGGACACTGCTGGCCTCTCTGGCCCCTTCTCTGGGCCCACAAGGCTGGTGGTGAGGATGGTGAGAAGCACCCAGTCCCTCACGCACTTCCTCTGAGTCCTCTGTGCTCCAGCCCTGTCCAACTGAGCTGTGGCCTGGCGTCTCCACCTAAGCAGAGTGAAGGCTGCACACATGGCCAATAATCCTGGGTGGTTCCACTACACACCACTCTTCTGTCCTGCCCACAGTCTTCCCCTGGTGCTCTTCAGCCTTCTTTTAAGCACTCCTGGGGTAGGGGTACAAGAGCAAGGGGCACTGGGCTAAGAGGCCGAAGTTCAGACTGCTGGGAAACTGAGCTCCATTCTGCTGTCTTGGGCTACTCCAGAAGCTTCCACTGTTTCCCTAGGATGCTTTATCTTATGACATCAACTTTTGATGAGCACTGAGTCCTACTAGCAAGAAAAAAGTCCATGCCGTCTCTCAACACCTCCTCCCACCAAGAACTCTGTCCCTGCTTGGCCAAACCCTCTCCTCCAGGAGAAAGAAGGGGAGACATGTTGCTGTGGGGGTAGAGAAAGGGGGACATCTGATATTGTTCCAGGGGCCATTTCTAGCAGGAGTTCCTCTGCCCTCCACCTGCACCATTCACCTATCTCTGCTTGGCACTGGGTGGGGGGAGGTTGGCTCCTGCAACTTACTTTTCAAGGCCTGGTAATTTCCTGTCTCCCATCAAGATGGGCAGGAAAGGTGTGTGCCAGGAAAGGGAAAATGTGTGTATTCTGTGTTAGAAGTTGGGGTCGGGGCCCACCAAGTACGTCTATAACTAATGTGGATATAGAAGCTGCATATTTCTGCTCTGAGCAAGGGGACACAATGTAGGAGCAGACCTTGCTGCAACAGCATGCTTGGAAGGCAGGGCTCTGAAGGTTGTGGATGCCTTCACTGTGGTTCCACACATGTAACCCTCCCCCCTGGAGCTCCTCCATTAAAACCTTCAGCCATTCCTGCCATAGGTGTCTTTTTATATCTGAGTGACCCTGGAATCGGAGGGCTCACGGGGGTGGCAATGGGGGAGGAGGGGCCTAAGACCTGGCTTTGGGATCTAGATAACAGAGTATTTTTCTAGGTGGGAAAACAAAATTGGTGTCTTGAGACTGTGAGCCAGAGAGGGAATGTGCAGTGGGATTCCTTAGACCTCAGGGTTCCTTCAGTTTTCCTGTGAGGTAGTAGCACAAGTCAATGGGGAAACACTGACAGGGAAGAGGGAGATGAACTTCAGTGTGCGCAACAAGTTCACACAGGTAGGATATATAATTCGGATGGTCTGTTCTGGCTGGTGGGTTCAGAGTGGCCAGTCTTGAACACTGGTGCCTTCACAGCTACCCATGAGAAACCCTCAGGAAGAAGGACAGACTACCCCATCTCCTGGCACAAGTCTAGTCCCTCAAACACAGTGGATTCAGGAGGAAGGCGGGTTCCCACTTGATGTGAGGAATTTCAGTCTTGAAGGGGGCAAGGAGGTGAAGTGGGGGTGGAGGTGGATTCTGCTGGAGCCTACACTGTATGGCCCATAACAATCACAACACTCCAGATCACAATCCTGAATGGTGCCCATGGCTGGATTGCTCAGCTAATCCTGGAACACTCGGTCTGTGGGCCTGAGAGCTGAGCGATACATCAATAGGGAAAGAGATGTGTAGCAGACAAATATCCCAGAAGATGATGCAATTGAAAATACCGTCAAGCTTCTGCCTCATAGAAGAACTGTCTAGGTAAGGGAGGCTTTTGCAGGCCTGGCCTTGACCTTGAAACCTGGCATTGTGGCCCAGCAGGCTCTTGTAAAACTCTGTGCCTCAGGGCACCCTGGCTCTGCCCTGGTACAGGCACAGGAGGCGGATCAGAGGGATAAAGCCTCTGACTCCCACTCTGAGCCACACATGAGACCTTTGTGTAATTAATCAGGGCTTTTTTGGCAGCAGATGAGAAAAGCTTAACTCAAGGAATGGGGGATGCGAAGGAAGGAAACTGGGAGAGCTCACAGAACCACAGGAGGGATCATAAGAAGGACTAACCTGAAGGAGGTCTCTCCTTGCATCCTCTGTCCCTCCTTCACTCCGTGTCTCTCTCTTTCTCTCTCTCTCTCTCCCTCTCTCTCTCTCTCCCCTGCTTCTGATGTCCTGCCTATTGACACCATTCTCTCCTGCAGCTGAAGATGATAGATGCAACCCCGCCCCTGGGTATACAGCCTTCCACTGTGACTGCAAAGGCAAAAGAAAAAGACAGCCTTCCCCCACTGACTCTCAGGTAATCTAAAATGAGGCTTGCAGGTATAAAACCAAGGTTTGACAGGGCTGCTTCCCACTGGAGGTTCTGGGAAAGAAGCCATTTCTTAGCCTTTTCCAGTGTCCAGAAGAGACCTATGTTTCTTGGCTTGTGGCCCCTTCCCCATCTTAAAAGCATGGGACTCCAATCTCTGCTTCCCTTGTCCCATCTCCTTCCATTTCCCTTGATCTTTTTGCTTCCCTTCCATCAGGATACTTGCAATTACATTTAGGATTCACTCAGTTAACCTGGGATCACCTCCCCATCTCAAGATCCTTAACTTGTTACATCTGCAAAACTCCTATACTGTAGATGGCGACATTCACAGGTTTTGGTGATTAGGACACAAATATATCTGGGGGAACATTATTCAGCCTACTACAGTTCTCAGTTAAAAGTTCTATCCAGTAATCCCCCCTTATTCTTGGTTTCTCATTTCCTGTTTTCAGTTACCTGTGGTCAACCAAGGCCCAAAATTATTAAGTGGAAAATGCCCAAAATAAACAATACATAATAAAACTGAACAGGCTGATGAAATCTCTCACCATCCTGCAGGAACCAGAATCATCCCTTGGTCTAGCGTCTCCATGCTGTGGACAATACCCACCTGTTAGCCATTTAGCAGGTGTTATTCACCTCTTACTATGCCTAATTCATAAATTAAACTTTATTGGGGGTTTGTATGTCAGGAAAAAACAGTGTATATGGGATTTGGTACAATTCTTGAGTTCAGGCATCCCTGGGGGTCTTGGAGTACATTCCCTAAAGATGAATGTGACTACTGTATTAGTTATGGTTTTAGTCTGTTCAGGCTGCTGTAACTATATACACTAAAAACCGAGTGGCTTATAAGCAGCAGACATTTATTTCTCATAGTTCTGGATGCTGGAAAGTCTAGGATCAAGGCACTGACAGATTTGGTGTCTGGTAAGTGCCTACTTCCTCACAGATTGACATCTTTATTATTATTATTATTATCATTATTATTTTTGAGTTGGAGTCTCACTCTGTCGTCCAGACTGGAGGGCCATGGCACGCTCCCGGCCACCACAGCCTCGACCTGCTGGGCTCTGACGATCCTTCCGCCTCAGCCTTCCAAGTAGCCGGAACTACAGATGCGTACTACCATGCCCGGCTAATTTTTTGATTTATTGTAGAGATGAGGTCTCGCCAAGTTTCCCAGGCGGGTCTTGAACCCGCGGGCTCAGGCAATCCACTCACCTCAGCCTCCCAAAGTGCGGGATTACAGGCCGAGCCAACGAGCCCGGCTCATTTTTATTATTTTTTTAAGGTGGGGTCTCACTGGCATGATCATGGCTCACTGCAGCCTCAATCTCCCGAACTCAGGCAAGCCTCCTTCCTTCTCTTGCCTCAGCCTGAGTAGTTGGGACTACAGGCACATGCCACCACACCCAGCTAATTTTTTGATTTTTTAGGTAGATACCAGGTCTCGCTATGCTGCCCAGTCTGGTCTCAAACTCCTGGGCTCAAGCAATCCTCCTACCCTGGCCTCCCAAAAGGCTAGGATTACAGGCATGAGCAACCATGCCTGGCCCATGGATTGCCATCTTCTCACTGTAACCACACATGGTGGAAGGGGTGAGGGGTCTCTCTGAGGCCTCTTTTATAGAATACTAATTCCATTCCCCAAGGGCTCTGCCCATGACCTAATCATCTCTCAAAGACACCACATCCTAACAGCATCATCTTGGGGGTTAGAATTTTAACATACGAATTTTGGGTGGACACAAACATTCAGATCATAGCAATCACTTTCTAGCATGGTAGCTATTCCTGAAGAAAATGAACCTGGAGGCCTTTGACACTTTGGGAAATTGATGTGCATAGAGATCAAAGCCTTTTCAAACCCCCTTTACTGACTGTAAATTTTTGCCCTGGAGGCTGAGTTAGCTCCTGCTGACAGCAGAGCTTCCTGGTGACACAGGTTGTTCACTTCCTCACTTCCAAACACACAGTCCATCATTCTTGCTGTCTCAGAAGATGTCTTCCTTGTATATGCCCTTAGTTGGTGAACAGTTGTGTGGGTTTTTTTTTTTTTTTTGGTCACTTGCTGTGGTACTTTCTAGACCAATTCTGCTCTTTTGAAAATGTTTTTCATTCCCAATGTATTTTGTGTCGATTTTAGAATGTCTTCAATCTGTTGTTCTTAGAAGACATTTTGCAGTCTTAGCCCACGAAAACTAAGTATTTTTATGTACTGTTTGATAAACCATTCCTCTGAACATTTTTCTTTTTACTACATAGTTGGATAATATATTTATGTGAAATATAACCTTTGCTAAACTCTACCGGAAACTGATTATCAAACAAAAAATTAATACTTT